TCTCTCTCTCTCTCTCTCTCTCTCTCCCCTTTCTCTCCCTCTCTCCCCATTCTCTCTGTGCCTATCTCTGTCAAATAAAAAAAAACAAGGAAAGTTATTCCATACGGTGGGGCTAAAGCACTAAACAAGCCTATTTCTCATCACAACCGTGTACACGTACATAATATTCTTGTGAAGAGTGAAGAGTAAAACCGTGACTCTGTAGGAAAAAGAAGTAATCCCTTCACAAGAGAGAGAGAGAGAGAGAGAGAGAGAGTGTGTGTGTGTGTGTGTGTGTGTGTGTGTGTGTGTGTGTGTGTGTGTGTGTGTGTGTGCTTGTTTGTTTGTTTGTTTGTTTGATTTGTTTTGTTTATGTGTGTGAATGTTTTTTTCCTTATGATATACGGTTCTGGGTGAAGTCAGAGAGAGTTGGAGTGCTGGACATGTGGTTTTAGTGACGTCACCAGAGTTTGGTTAGGACGTTTTGTATGGTTCGAGAGGACAAGTGGTGGGTTGTTGGAGGGTGCTCTGGTGTGGTTTGCTCCTTCTTCCTTATCAAACATCTGTCGTCCTTATCTCTCGTCCTTCTTTTTGTGTTTGTTACTCTCTTGTAGCACACCTAATCTTCGGCTCTTATATGACCTCATTGTGTTGCAAGTGCCGTAAAACTCTTACGAAAACGGAAAGGGAGTGTGGAGGCTATTAAAACAATAACAACTCATTGACTTCCCGTTTAGGAGAAAGCACACACAAAGGCTATTTACGGTGATCTCGAGAGGGGAAAGAGCGAGACAAACAAAATAGAAACGATAAAAGCAGAAGGATTTGATCAAAGCCCACCATTGGTGCTCCCCAACCTCTCTGCTGGACCTGTGTTTTGTTTGGACTATGAGCACTCTTTTTCCCCCTTTTTTCTGTTTTTTTGTTTTTGGTTTTTTTTATAAGCGTTTTATGGCAATCGCAATTTTATAAGGTCATATGAGCTCGCGGGACGCATCGAACACTTTCAGCTGGTAGGAAATATTTGAATTTTGCCCTGGTGGCGGCCGAAGCCTACTCTAATCGATTTTGGACCACCAAGGGATCTTTAACGTGCGCACCTTGAACACGGGACCTCCGAGAATTTTCGCCCTTATCAGAAAAGGCTGGGTGAAGATTTTACCTACCATAAGATCAAGAGTGTGGCAGAAAGACAGCAGTAAGAAGGAGCCAAGGGGTAGCAGTAGAAATGCTGCAGAAAGAGTCAGGATCCTAGAGGAGGGAGTAAAGGAGGTGAGGGGGTGGGAGGGCAGAAAGCGGAGACGAAAGAAGACAACAGAACATGGTTAGAGAGCAGGAAATAACGTGAAAGGAGAAAATTTTCGAGAAGAACATTTTCCGTCGCTATCTGGATTCGAACCCGGGGCGTATTGAATGAGAATCAAAAACCTTAACCTCTAGACTACGTGAGCCCCCTCTGAGCACTCTGAAGCTTGAATTAATGAATAAATTATAATATCAATTGTATTCATGTGGCGCATATCCTTGCTCTACAGCATGCTCTGTGCACTTTAATTTTTATTGCCCCAGCAGACCCTCTGAGAACATTCAGAAATATTCTCGGCTTCCCGTAGAGCGTACAGTGAAAGCTGCGACTACACCGTAAAAAACAAACACAATCAAACTGACAAGACCTTTCGCTGTCATTAACTGGGATACTCATTCTCACCTGAGTGAAGTGAGGAAAATTCGTGTCAAATACCTTTCCCAAGGACACACCATCAAGCCACTGACGGGAGTGGAACCCACGTCCTTACGGTTGAGAATCCGAGAACTTAATTCTTAATTTAACCACTAGACCACAGACGCCACAAGTGACATTTCTGGAGGGTTTTTTTTATCTGAGAAGTGGCCCCTTTGGGGGGGGGGGGGGGGTAACTAGCAACAATAGTTATTATCATTGCCCTCTTCTTCAAAGTCTTGTATTTAATCAGGAGCTCCTCGTGCCTTTATCTTAAAAGTGTGACTAGTAATGGAAGAACCTCTGGTCCCCAGCTGCATTGGTCTCGAATCAATTCCTGCTCAGTACTTTGGCTGAAGCCTAATACGGGGTGCCCACTACAGATCGGCCGATCGCTCGACTCGATCGCCTGAAAAACAAACGTGTTTGTTTTCAGTTTCAGGCGATCGAGTCGGGCGATCTGCCTGATCCAGCCGTAGTGGGCACCCCGTATAAGAGTGTTAACTCATTGAAGACGCAATTCCTGCTCATCCGAATGCTTGAAAAAAGCTGAACTTTAGTTATATCCATACAAATTTTCCAGTTCAGTTTTCTTTTTCTGAAACTTACAAAGGCAAGGAACAACATTTATATTACTATGAAATGTCCAATGTTGTGTTTGTGGTTTGTGCATGTGGGCTCCAAGTGTGCCACAACACTGACTTTGATCTGTTTTTGGTCGGACAAATATGTCTGACTCGTCCTTAAAGAGTTAAGGCTATTGCCTATCCATGCAGAGCAGTTCACTATAAACGTCCAGCCAAACAGAAGGTAACTAGAACAACGATAAAAATTAAGGAGCAAATCAAACGTTACATGATAATTTCTTTCTCTTCTTTTTTTCCCCCTTCAGCGTCAACAGAAAACTGACGTTGGCTCTCCTGGAGAAAGTAGAAACGCGCGGAGCACGCCTGTATATAGCCCCATTTAGCGTAGGCCTACCATGTCTTTCTTGGGTGACATTGATCAAGTAACATTATTGCGGTTCTTGTTTTACAAAGACAAAAGACATACACTTCAGTTAAAAAACAAAACAAAACGAAGAACAGGAAAAAATATATCACGTAGAAGGGAAAAAATGTGTAAGTTTCCTTTTTTTGTGTGTCAGTGCTGTGAACCCCAATTGGAGCATCAAAATACTACTTTTATAACATGACCTACATTTTAGATAACTTCTTAGTATTACTCGTGTGAAAGGAAAAGCGTGAAGACTCAAAAAGATTTGGATTTTTTACATAATCAAAGTGGTCCCTTTCCTTTGATCGCCAGTATAGAGAGAGGTTCGAATACAATATTATTATGAGTGTTTGGTTCAATTTAATTCATTTTGTATTCAGTCGGTTAGACCTCTGCTGTAATGGCTAGCTAGATGAAAAATAGGTTCATTTCTAAGGAAAGGGCATTGTTCAAAAGACTCATCATCATCATCATCATCATCATCATCATCATCATCATCATCATCATCATCATCATCATCATCATCATCATCATCATCC